TTATGTTCATCAGGGATAAGGTCAACACAATAGTGCTGACTTCATAAAAAATGAGCACTGCAAAGCAATGTCACTGCTTTCTTAATCCCAGAAGTGGAGAAGGGAGTTGAAATAAACATGAATATGAGTCATTATAGAAAAAGGGATAATAGGAGATGATTTGAAAATGATCTAATTTAATAATATTTCCCCAACATTAACTTCATTATCAGATTCCTCCAGAACATTAACAAATAACCCAGGACCTGACACCTCCGGACTCCATGACAGAGCTTGCTATAAAGCCGGAAGACATGCAAATGGGCCCTCTCCCTGCTCATGAAAAGCAGCCCAGTCCTGACCTTACAGCTCAAACACAGGAGCTCAGCTGTGGATCCCAAGACTTCACTCAGGGGTCAGCATGGAGTTGGGGCTGAGCTGCATTTTCCTTGTTGCTCTTTTAAAAGGTAATTTATGGAGAGCAGTAGATGCTGACTGTGTGAGTGGACATTAATCTGAGGGACAATGGACATGTGTGATGATTTCTTGATCAGGAATGTTTATGTTTGCAGGTGTTCAATGTGAGGTGCAGCTGGTGGAGTCTGGGGGTGGCCTCGTCAAGCCTGGAGCTTCCCTGAAACTCTCCTGTGTAGCCTCTGGATTCACCTTCAGTGACTACTGGATGCACTGGGTCCGCCAGGCTCCAGGGAAGGGGCTGGAGTGGGTTGGAGAAATTATATATGATGGCAGTACCATAAACTATGCACCATCCGTGAAGGGCCGGTTCACCATCTCCAGAGACAATGCCAAGAACACTCTGTACCTGCAAATGAACAGTGTGAAGTCTGAGGACACCGCCACTTATTACTGTGCTAGACACAGTGAGTGATCTCAGTGTGAACCCAGACAAAAACCTCACTGTGAGGCCGCTCAGGGCCACCAGGGGGCGCACAGCACACACAGAACACAGGTCCATCCCAGGAGACTATAAAGACGTAACTGTGTATGTTCATCAGCAGCCTTGCTGCCGTTCATCCTACAGTTCCCAGAAAGTCTCTCTAAATATTTGTGCTATGGGTGACTGTTGTCCTCAATACATCTCCTGTGTTTCTGCTGTTATTTAAGCATAGGAGGCTGAGTCTCAGATGAACAAAATGCAAAGTGACAGCTCTGAGGGTAAAAACATCTCCATTGTATCACTGAAATCACAGCAGGAAGTTCATGGGTGTTCTGGTGTCTTTTTTCTAATATTCAAGTAGATCCTTGTACAGATTTCTTTATTAGAGTAGAACTTATATTTAAGGGTAAATCAAGAGAAAGTTGGGGCCCATATATAGGAGCATAAACCCTACCAAGGCTCAAACCTCCCCTCCTCTCCCTGACAGTGGTGCACATCAGGTTCATACGTGGGTTTTCTATAAGCCGGTCCTTCAGTAAAGTCAGTTCAGAGTCTGTGTGGAGATGGCATTTCAAGGATGGTTTATTGTCTTCTACAGGACGTGAATATGGGATTCCACAACCAGGACTGTATTGAACATGTGCATCTGATCACATGGAAATGGTCCTGAGAAGTGAGATCTGCTGACCTAGAAAATCTCTCTGAAAGGAATGCGGGATTGGCAGTTAGTAATCTACAGTCAACATGGAGGTTGGAAGAGAAATTGGCAGTCCTGACAGGGAGAGCAGGAAATGACAGATTCCATTAACTGAGGCCAGGAATCCTGTACAGACCTCGTCCTGTCCATGAAAAGTGATTTTACCACAGATGTGATGTTACACATGTGTACTAAAAAGTTCCACAAGAATCTACTTAATGATAACTGGAAGGTGCTGTTTTATGATGAGGTCATATCTCAGGGACCGGAAAGGCTCTGCAGAGCTCAGTTCGCTGCCCCAATGTTCTGTTTCCTACTTGCTGTGTTTAAGAAGAGCAACATTAAATCCACAACATGACAACCTTCAGAGAGGGAGAGCCTTTGGCATGCTCATTCCTAAGTGGGATGTCTTTGTCACAACCCTCCCCTCAGTGCTCAGGAACCTATGAAGAAGAGTGGCTGGAATGATTGCAGGAACCACAATGTCTGGCAGCATCAAGGAAACTGTTTTTAGGGACACTACAGCAGACACACATATGAACTCGGGCACTGTGAACAAGACATGAAGAAGCTGAAGACAGAGGTGACTTCTTGCTTGGACAAATAAAGCTTTTCTGAAGATGAGAGGATGGAGCATGTCACCAGCTAACCACAGGTCTGGAAGTCTGTACAGACAGACAGGAAGTGAGGTGGCTGGCCAGAGTGGATATAAGTGGTTAGAAACAGGAACTTGTCTCGTTCCTGCTGGGATGCTAATGAGGTCAAGGTGGCTTTGCCTTGCTCCTTCTCTCTAATCTCTCAGCATTTCCCTCTACATTTGACTCCAGGTTTTACTATGGAGACAGATTAAGAACTCAATTCACACAAGCATGGAGCAATGGCAGTGGACACTAACTCTCTCTCTTATCAATAAAGCCATCCACAGTTGACAACTTCTGGGAGGAAGTCAGTTTTCCACAGCAGAGAGACACAGGTCTCTCTGTGTTACATCAGAGAGGTTACATCAGGTTACATCAACCATATTTCAGAGGAGATGTTTGACAACAAAACAGGGACTTTACTGAATATTTTTTATTTGTAATTTTTGTTTCTGTTTTTCTTTTCAAATGACAGAAAAAAAGATGAAAGAAGGTATGTAGGTATTGAAAAATATATAGGACATTAAGGATGGAGAAAAAATTTAGAGAATTAATTTAATAATGAGAAAAGCATGTGTGTAAACACCCATACAGTGGATGCAGTAATTATATTCTTGTGTCCTATTCACGTACAATGATGAGTAGAGTAGACATCAACAATGAGTTTGTACACTATCACCAGTGTTTGAAATTTGGTTTTCAAAAGTCATAGGTTGTCAAATCACAATTTTCTATACCAATAACACTGCCTTATATTAAAATTATGAGTTTGGCTGGGCATTGGTGGTGCACTCCTTTAATCCCAGCACTCAGGACACAGAGGCAGGAGGAGCTCTGTGAGTTTGAGGCCAGCCTGTTCTCCAGAGAAAGTGCCAGAATAGGCTCCAAAGCTACACAGAGAAACCCTGTCTCGAAAAACAACAACAACAAAAATATGAGTTTAGTGTGGAAACAGAAGACTGAGCAATTAACTTACTATCTCATATCATTCTTTCTGTTTCAAATACTGAATATATATCTCTCAACAATTGTGGAATGTGAATTCCTGTGTTTTCTGACTTTGTTCCCTTCCACTGTCAACTCCCCTACTCACCTCAGACTCTGGGAAACAGACCAATGTTCCCCATGCCAGGATTTTCACCTTTTCATTCTCTATGTGACTCAGGTCAGGTAGTATATGTGTTCATGTCCCTTTATTATCTCACTTGTAACTTACTCAGGTCCATTCAATTTCACACACAGAACACTGGTTTCCTCATCTCAAGACCACATCACAGTATTCTCACAGATTCTCTTTGCCATCCTTTTTTTTTGTCAATGACTTCTTCCTCAAATACTGTGATCATTTCAACTTAGTCATTGTATTGTAACTTTGATCATTTTTGCAACTATGACATATTTGATGATAGTGATCAGCTAATCATCCCATTAACTTCTCAATTCCCACACCCCACAAACCACTCTCAGCTTCATAGTGAAGTCCTCAGCTTCTCCTGACTCCTGGGAATGATCCTGCAATAGATGCAGATGTTGGTGTAGCCCTCTCATGAACACACGTTCCTGTCTCTCATCTGTAGCCTATTGGTTGACTGTGAGAACTTATGGTGAAGCTGTGTTTTGTTTGGTGAAGAGTGCACACCAGTCTCATCACACTATTCTATAGACAAACCAATGAAATGTCTTATATGTGTATCAGCCATTATTATCTCTTGTTTCTGACAAGTTATACTAAGTTATGTGATAGAAATTCACATGTGAATTTAATCTGTGAATTATAACAATTCAAAAATGAAAATTCTTTTCATATCTATAAACATACCCAAGTATCATTTAGAAAAATGAATATCAAGTATTCTTTTTACTATTTAATTGATTTTCCCTCTTCTTGTGATTGAGTTACCTTCGTATGTGTATATGGGCTCCTGATCATATGTATGCTGTGTGGATATTTTCAAACTTCCAATGTGATGTTGTCAGCCCTGAAATCATTACATGCAACACTGAACAAACCTAGCATGTTGTATACATATCTTTGTGTATAAACATGCCCATGCACCTGCGTGTGTGTGTGTGTGTGTGTGTGTGTGTGTGTGTGTGTGTGTGTGTGTAAATACTAAATAGAGAAGAGGAGGTTAGGAGTTTGGGAGTGAGATAGAGAAGAGGAGGTTAGGAGTTTGGGAGTGAGAGTTTGGGAAGCATGGTGAAAGTCTGTATGTCTTTATTTTTCTTTCTTAATTTATTTAATTAAATATCTAATATTGATTTGTAGGGTTTAGCTATGGTGCATACCACTATTTTTCTTAATTTGTTTTTTGGTCTAATTTCTTGTGTAATCCTTGACTGTTTTTATTGTATATATGTACATATATTCATGTCACCTGAAGTGTTAAATTGGGTTTTGTTTTCTAATTTGGATTATTTACTTTCACTTTGAGATTGATATTCTGGCTAGTATCAAAAACCATCTTGACTAAGCTGGTTCAGCATGGGACAATTATATTGCTCTTGTATAAGGACTTACCTCAGCATCTGCAGAGAGCCCAGGGAACAAGGATGCTATATATATATCCTCAGAAAGGATTAGGACTGGGACCTCAGCTTCCTGCTGCCTGACCTATATATATGTCTCCTCTACCTTCCTCTCCAACAAGACTAGGTCCTTATCTAAGGAGTACCCTGTCCATTAATATGCAAATTACCTGAGTCTACTATGGTGAATTCAAGGACATCCACACCTCAGCACAGCATAAGATCAGTGTCCTGTCCTTACTTACACAAGACACAAGTTCTCACCATGGGATGGAGCTGTATCATTCTCTTTCTTGTGTCAGTAACTACAGGTAAGAGGATTTCAAGTTCTAAACCAGAAGAAGGAACAGGGACTGAGGTGTCAAAGATATACACTCTTCCTTTCTCTCCACAGGTGTCCACTCCCAGGTCCAGCTGCGGCAGTCTGGGGCTGAACTGGTGAGACCTGGGTCCTCAGTGAAGTTGTTCTGCAAGGCTCCAGGTTACACCTTCACTTACTACGTCATGCACTGGATGAAGCAAAAAACTGGACAGGGCCTAGAGTGCATTGGAGTCATTAATCCTGAAAATGGTAATACTGATTGCAATCAGAAGTTCAAGGGAAAGGCTACACTGACTGCAGACACATTCTCTAGCACAGCCTATATGGAGCTTAGCAGCCTGACATCTGAGGACTCTGCAGTCTATTACTGTTGGACACACAGTGTTGTAACCACATCCTGAGTGTGTCAGAAACCGTGGAGGAGCAGGAAGCTTCTCTGGAACTGAGATGACAGAGAAGATCACCCTGGAGGCTTGCTCGGACATAACCAATCTGAGTGTCCCTTTGTTTGTCACTTCCCATTCCTAGAGGGTGTTTGTCCATTTTTCAAAGGACCACTGGGAAGAAAGTGATGTGTTGGGGGATGTTCTTAAAGTGCACTAACCTCCATCAGCTGTTTACCAGTGACCACATCCACTGACTTGATCATTAATAAAGTAAGATAGGATAAACTGTGTCAGTACATTATGATATGAATACCTTTTAAATCTGAGGGACTAGATTCTGATGCTAGGTAGCTGGGAATGACCTACAATATGGATTATGGCAATAGAAGACAAATCACCAGCATGTGGGTAAACACAGCCCCTTTGATAGTCCAGTTTGCTTTGTCTACAACAAGGAAAGGCAATATGTTGGAAGAGGTCCCCATAGATTTTGGGGTAGGTGCTTTAATCTCTCCTATGAAATCTAAATTTATGTCTTTAGTTATTGATACATCTGATCCTGAATTACTTTTGGCAGTAGTAATCAATCTCTTGTTTTCAGATTGAAGATAGAGTTGAGTGGCCTGCTGCAGATTCTGAGGGTGTGGAGTTTCCATTTTGGCAACAAACTGGCTCCTTTCTCAGATAGCACTGTGGTCAGAGCAGTGGGATTCTAATGCTGGAATGTAGAGGCCTGATTCTGTAGTGAACATCCCTGGGTGCTCACCACTCTGTTTGATAAAATTGGTTTGTATTTGTCATCAATTCTAGATTGCCACTGACTGGAGCAGTGAAAATGCATGTTACATGTTGCAGGTATTTTAGAGGGAACTTTACTATACTGAGGATGATTGGGAAGTTTTAGTTTATGTTATTTTTGTAAGTGGCCTTTTCCCTCAGAATTTGAAACACTAAGGAGGACGCAAGAACACAGCCAGGATCAGAGCCTTACCTTCCTGTGTGCCATCATTCTGGCATGCTTCAATCACATCAGCAACAATTGTGACATGTCCTATAAACTAAAGAACAGCCTATTTACAGGTAAAATTATATTTTCATGAGCAGATGAAAGAGGCAATGGATAAGCAGCATCTTTATTATCTGACCACTGCTCTTTATCTTGATTCAGGTGATGGACAAAGTCATAAAATTCTCTGTAGATTTCTGTCTATAGTGATGAAGATGCCTGTGGGAATAATAATATCAGCAATTTTATTCCAAGTCCTTATAAAACCTTGGCTGCTTTGTCTGTTCACCACTTGAGGGTTGGCAAACTTTCAGATACCACCCATGGTATCCATTAGCATCACACCATACTGGACTATGAAGCATGGCATTATACACATTACACAGGAGAACTGAGGTGCTGGAAGCCAAGGGAAGCCACTCCAGCATCCTGAACTGTTGGAGTAACTGTTCTTCTACAATGAGAAGACAATATTATCCTTAAGGTGTTTCTCAGTGTTCTGACAGTGCAATGGACAGCACATCAATTCTGACCACTGAGAGAAGAGCAGTCTTTATGGAACTGGTCCCGTCTCCTTCTCTCTTGCAAAATTATGTCAATATTATTTGTGGTCTTGATGTTAGAGCAAAATATATATGAATAGCCTGGCACTCTGTAGAGTAAACATTTTTTGTTTTGATCTGTGTAGCTCCACTTCAAACCTTTAACCATGGGTGCACACAAAATCCTACATAGTGCCGTTGGCTTCTCTCAATTAAGGGAGTACATCCCTAAACACTCTTCATCAGGGAAAATGTTCAGCTTAGGGAAAGATTTAGTAACCAAGTCTCTGTCCGAAAATAGGAGGATGTGAACGTTTGGAAAGGTAGACTGGGAGAGAGAAATAGGGGACACACCATTTACTGTTGAGGATCCTTGTAAAGTGATGTCCTCTTTCCCTTCGTTCTCTTGAATGCATGCAGGTACAGAAGGAGAAACAGATTGAGTCGTGGTAAAATGCACAATATTTCTACTGCTTCCAATGTGAATATACTCCCCTGAAGTTGTTAAGTGATATATATACATATCTCTACATAGATACATACACATATCTCTATATCAAGGGGTCTGATACAGTTGTTGGTAGCTGGGAATAAGCTCTAATATAGATTACTTCAGTAAGAGAGAGATCAACAGCATGTGGGTAAATTAAAGCCTGTTTTATTGTCTAAATTTTTGCCTAAAGCAAGAAAAGTCAGTTTGTTGGAAGGAGTTCCCATTGATTTGGGGGTCAGTGCTACTTGGACATAATGATAAGGGAGACCCCAGTCTTGTAGAATTTCCATAAGTGCCTGTGAGCCAAGGTAAGAGTTAAGGACATGCTGTGAGGATGAATCAGCATCCACTCTTAACAAGGAAGGAAAATAGGTAAGAAGTACTAGGGAGGAAGTCATGGAGAGAGAGACAGAAGGACACAGAGAGAGACAGAGACAGAGATAGGTTAAGGCAGAAAGATATGAAGAGAGCATAAAGATGATTGGATATGGATGGGGAATAATTGACAAGAGTTTGATGTGGGATATGACAAAAAGATAATGGATGAAAAAACATTGTGTTATAAATTTCTTCATGGTTTATCAAATGAAAGCCCCCATGCTCAAATATTAAAGAACCAAAGGGGAACCTGAGGCGAATCACAAGCCACCACTCACACCCTCTGTTACTCTTTTCCTCACTCAGAAGAGCCACACACTCCTCTGCTCAGGCCTTTTTCTTTTGGTCATGTCCATGCCCAGTGAAAAAGCTGTTATTGCACTGAAACCTCCCAATTATATGGCTAGGGGAATAGAAAAGAAAAAGGCTGTGGAGTAGATTTCTAAAATCCACACTCTGGATTTGGAAGAATCCTATTGATCAGCTATACTCTGGATCAGAACCAATTCCCAGGACAGATCAATCTGATATATATGGAGAACAGGCCAGCAGGGATGACCACACCTCAGCCATTCAGGGCCTTACGAACAGATGCAAAGACAGAATAGCAAGGGAGGTCACCACATCCGTCCAGAGTTTCTTCCTTTAGTTTACCCTCATATAACCATGCTAAATAAGTGAAACCTGTCAGAGAAATGAGTTGATCATCAAAGAACTCAAAGCGGTAGTGACTTTCGATCATCTGCTCTCTGCATTTAGTTGCTTTAAATGAAGTCACATTCCTGCAGTTGCCACAGAAACAATAATGTCTTAGTCAAAAAAACTCTTAGCCATAACAATGTTTTTGTAATAGTTGAAGTAATCAATCAATTAAACAATTAATTCCCAACTCTCCTTTCTAATACAGGGGTGACTATTTCAAGGGTCCTCCTCTTGAGACTGATCCCAAAACCATCAAGAAAGTCCTATATCCTCAGTGGGGTGGAGAGTTGGGAAGACATGAAACCATGGCACTAAAGACCAGGTAGCAGGCTTCTCTCCTTCCTGTTTTAACCAGAGACAAGAAACCTATTTTCAATTTGAGGAAAGATAATGGTACAGATGCCAAAGGTGTTAACTAATACACCCCAAACACAAATATGTGGCATATATTTGAAAGCGGTTCATGATGTGTTTAGTATTTCACAAAGATGAGCCCTGTCTTAATTTTTATTTAACATGTGTATTGAATAAAATATATATATATATATATATATCCCAAACAACCTGTGTGTGTGTGTCTGCCTGTGTGTGTGTCTGTGTGTGTGTGGTGTGTGTGTGTGTGTGTGTGTGT